AAATTACCTTATGCTTCCTTTTTTTTTTTTTCTGAAAGGCTCCTTTGTTTATTTCATTAATGTTTCCTTCTCTTTTTGTGAATATGCGATTTGGCTAAGTCTTTTTCACAATAAAGTAACCCAAGTCAAAATTTTTGGGGGGCAATGCCATCCCACTGGTTATGTACCAAGGCGACCATTGATGGCTGCAATAATACATTTCAAAAATAACTACCAAGAGATTGTGACACCCTGGCTCAGTAGAATACAAGTCAGGGTCACTTATAAATATCCAGTCACAGGGACATGATTCACTACATTATAGTGCATCATTTTGAAAGTCTATTATGCCACCATGAAAAATTAAAACTTTTAAGTTATATGTGGAAATGTTTAGGACAAGTGTAAAAGGCAGAACTTATTGTATTATGTAACTGTCACAATCATGTATTATATATTTTTGCATAAAAATGACAACCATCTTAACATGAGGGAAAATATCAATATAATGAGGGCAGGACTTTAGGTACTTCCATGGTTTAAACTATTGAGCAAGTTTTATTCAACTTTTTGAAAATTTATTTTTATTTTTGTAGAGACAGTGTCTTGTTATGTGACCCAGGCTGATCTTCAGCTCCTGGTCTCAAGTGATCCTTCTGCTTAACCTCTCAAAGCACTGGGATTACAAATGTGAGCCACCATGTCTGGCCCACAAGACATATAGTTTTAGTGTGAGTGTTCTAAAATAGACATTACAGGATCTTAAAGAGATATTTGCACTGTCATGTTAATTGCAGCATTATTCACAATAGCCAAGACATAAAAACAGCCTAAATGTGCATCAGTGGATGAATAGATAAAGAAAATGTGGTATATATATAGTGGAATATTGTTGAACATTAAAAAAGAAGGAATAAGCCAGGTGTGGTGGCTTATGCCTGTAATCTCAGCACTTTGGGAGGCCAAGGTGAAATGATTGCTGGAGCCCAGGAGTTCAAGACCAGCCTGTACAACAAAGTAAGAGCCCCATCTCTACAAAAAAAAAAAATTAAAAAATTAGTGAGGCATTACAGTCCACACCTTTAGTTCCAGCTACTCAGCAGACTAAAGTGGAAGGATCTTTTGAGCCCAAAAGGTCAAGGCTGTGGTGAGCTGTGATTATGCCACTGCACTCTACCTCGGATGACAGAGTGAAAGTCTTATTCAAAAGAAAAAGAAAGAAAGAAAGAGAGAGAGAGAGAGAGAGAGAGAGAGAGAGAGAAAGAGAGAGAGAGAGAGAAAGAGAAAGAAAGAAAGAAAGAAAGAAAGAAAGAAAGAAAGAAAGAAAGAAAGAAAGAAAGAAAGAAAGAAAGAAAGAAAGAAAGAAAGAAAAAGAAAGAAAGAAAGAGAGAAAGAGAAAGAGAGAGAAGGAAGGAAGGAAGAAAGAAAGAAACCGGGCTCGGTGGCTCAGCCTGCAATCCCGTGCCTTTGGGAGGCTGAGGTGAGCGGATTGCCTGAGCCCGTGGGTTTGAGACCCGCCTGGGCAGTGAGACCTCATCTCTACAATAATCAAAAAATCAGCCAGGCATGGTAGCCCATGCCTGTAATTCCGGCTACTAGGTAGGCTGAGGCGG